GAATTTGGGGAACTTGTGCATTTAAGACATGAAACTCTGGTGGTATAATGGATTGTTCATTGGGTTGCTAACCCTAAGGTTAGCACATTGAAGCTACCAGCTGAAATAAGGGAGAAGATATGACTTTCTGCTCCTGTAAACATTTAAAACTTTGGACACACTGTAGATAGAGCTGTTCTACCATTTCCTATAGGGTTACTATGAGTTGAAATCACCTCTACATTTCTGGGAGAATTGTGCATTTATGAAATTATTTATTTTTTTGCTGTTGTTAAGAATATTCATAAGAAAACATGCAATAGTTTCTGAATGTACAATTCATTGGCATTGATTACATTCTTCACATTGTACAATAATTCACCTCCTTTTCTGAGTTGTTTCTCCTCCATTAACATAAACTCAATGCCTCTTAATCTTTATATCAAATCTTTGTGATACTTTGGTCAATTTTATCTCATGTAAGTAGTTTTTAAGATGTTTTTGTTGTCAAGTGCCATTTAGTTGGTTCTAACTCAAAACTACATTGTATAGAGTTTCCAGTGAGTTGCTGTTGGGTTTGAACCACTGACTTTGTGTTTAGCAGTCCAGTGCTTATCCACCAGAGCTTCACCAGGACTCCAGATTATTTTTACAAGAGCTTAATATTCAAAGCAGACCCTCTTCGTGATGCTGTGGGTTAATGCTCTGCACTGCAAAGTTGGTTTGATCAGTAAGGTCAGTGGTTCAAGCTCACCAACTGCTCCTTGAAAACCCTATACAGGGTCACTATGGGTAGGAACGGACTTGATGGCACTTAACAACAACAACAACTTTTGGGTTTGAAAAAGACTTCAAGGAATATTTTTATTTTACTTTTAAAGATTATCTGTCAGAAATAGTTCCAGATGTTCATATATTTGTCATAGCTCCAGAAAAATCTTGAGGCCATGAGAATTTGAAATTCTCTTTTGCCTATACATCCCTTTTGATCAGAACTCTTCTATAAAAAAATTGAACAAAGTATTGGGTGAGGGTACTTTATTACCATCCAGTTCCTCTGGTTTTATGCAAATAGAGCAGTTCAGAGAGACAGTCTCTTGCTCCATATTCTCTGTCTATTCTGTATTTTAAATTTATTTTTTGCTTGATTATACAAGGTAGCCTTAAAACAAAATTATGAGTATCATAATTCACCATTACAGAGGCTATGTTATTAGAGAAAATTAAATTATTAAGATTGAATAAAAGGTCAGACTTCCCTGTATTTATGTCATAACAACACAGAAGATGCTGCAGTGATAAACTGACCTTCATGTTTCAAATGCAAATAATGTATATGCTCATTATTTTTTCAATAAGAAAAAATATATATACATGGTTTCCCTTCCAGTACATGGGAGAAAAAGAAGAAAGCAATTTCCTTTTCCCTTCTTCCTTCTTTTCTTTTTAACTACCTTCTCCATGGCCCAAGTTAGCACATGTCTATGCTCTACCCAGTGAATTAATCTCTCTACCTCCCTTCCCTAAGGAGCTCTGGTAGCGTAGGGGTTACGAAGCGGGCTGCAAACTGCAAGGTCAGCAGTTCGAAACTACCAGCTGTTCCGTGGGAGAAAGATGAGGCTCTCTGCTCCCATAAAGATGTACAGCCTCGGAAACCCTGTAAACAGGGTCGCTATGAGTTGGAACTGACTGCACCGCACACAGCCACCACCACCACCACTTCCATTACCACCACCACTGCCACCACCACCTCCCTTCCCTGGTAACTATCATAGAAAGTTTGTTTATGGAATGAAAATCTTTTCTTAATTATTTACAGTAGCTGTCTCATACAATATATTCCCTCTGCGATGGTTAATTTCACTCAGTATAATGTACTCCATGTTACTCTATATTATGCAGTTTTAATGTTTCCATGTTCTATTTGGATCGTCATTTTTATGGTATGTTGTGAAGTATTAACTTTCTTTGAAGTTACCCTATAGTCTATTGACTTTTCCCTCCATTTAAGATAGTCTATTGTATCCTTCAATCTATCTGACCTCCTCACCACCTCAGTCTCTGTTCCTATATTTTTCTCTTCTTTGACATTGTTATTATTTTGATCTTTGAATGACCTCCCAGGTCCTCTGAATTTGTTGTTGTAATTTTGTTCTGGTCTAAGCTCTGCTATCTGTTGACTGAATTCCAGGTAGTGTTGCCACATATGTCAACTGCTGGTTTTTGTCTGTTCTTGTTGGTTTTCATTCCTAAGAACTTCCTTTAGGTTGTTTTAAAGTGCTGGATTGGCTTTGACAAAATCTGTTAGCTTCTGTTTTTCCTAGAATGTTTTGATTGCACAGTGATATTTGATTGACAGATTTGCTGGGTAGATGATTCCTGGTTGGCAGTTTGTTTGTTTGTATTTTTTTCATTTACTGTTTTGTATGCCTCTCCTTTGCCTTCTTGCCTGCATGGTTTCTGCTGAGAGGTTAGAGCTTAATATGATTTGCTTGCCTTTGTACATAGCCCTTTTCTTTTCCCTGGCTGCTTTTAGAATTCTCTCCTTGTTTTTGATTTTGGAGAGCTTGATTATGATATGTCCTGGTGATTTTCTTTTGGGGTCTATCCTTCCTGGGATTCATTCAGCTTCTTGAATGCTTATCTTCTCATCCTTCCAGATGTTAGGGAAGTTTTCTTCCAGAAATTCCTCAACTATCTCCTTTGTGGACTTGTGTGATTCTTCCTGTTCCAGAATGCCAATTATTCTTAAATGATTCCTCCTCATGTTATGTCCAACATGAATCTTAGACTCTCTTCAGATTTTTTAGTCCTTTTTTCTGCTTGCTCTTCTATCTTAGCAATATTGAGAGATTTGTCTTCCAGATCAGTGGTTCTGGTTTTCATCTCTTCATTTCTATTCCTTTGCCCTTTCAGTGTATTGTCCATTTCTAATATTTTATTATTAATCATTTTGATTTTTTTTTTTTAGGTTTTGAATGGTTTCCAATACTATATCTATCTTGTTTGATGGTTCCAGTAGCACTTTCCTGATTTCTTTTTATTTTCCTCCACTCCTCTGTGAAGCATTGCATTTGTGTCCATATTATTCTTCTGAATTCCTTCTCAGGCAGATCCAAAGCCTCCTCTTCTTCTAATTCAAAGTCCATGTCTACCACCAGCTCATTTGTCTCAGTTACTTCTTTCTTTTTTTGGACATGTGCTGAGATCTTTTGTTGTTTTTTTTTTCTTGGACATTTTCAATAGTCAGATATGTTTTAAATGAATGTATGTTGCTGTATTTTTAAGCTTTCTGAATGTCTCCTGGTTGATGTGATCTGGAGATAGGCTTCCCCTTTCACATCTCTTATTACTGAACTGCTATCTATCATAGCAGATGTTGGTTATCTATGTATTGCGTAGCAGCTGGTATTGGCTTATGTCACTATGGTGGGATATTATGGGGTATGTTTGTATCTTGGCTATATGGCCACGATTGCTGTCTTTACTTGGGTAACATGGGTAGAGAAAGCTTCCACCCTCAGGAAAACGTGAGATCAAAAGGATCAAGAATAAAAAATATAAAAGCAGAAACAAAAACCCAGCACATGAAATGAAAAACAAAACTATAGTAGACTGTCCAATAGCCTTTGCTTCACTGGTCAATGTGCATGTACAGTAGAAACCTCCAGCGGTGGGTGGAGGTGTCCACTTGCTCAGGGTCCCCCCCCCCCCCGGAGTCACTGTCGTGGAGGTGTGCAATGGATATTGAGAAATGAATGGAAGAAAGACTCTTCACAATTTTTATCTCTGAATATCAGTTAGGTATCTGTGTATGCACAACATAATTCTCAAAGTGACTGCATCCTTGTATATAGTAGTTGGTATTGGCTCTTGCTTTTTATGTTGGGGTTTTACAAGGTGCAAATATGGTTTGGCTGTATGGCCAGACCTGCTGTCTCTTGTTAGGTAAGGCAGGAATAAAGGCTTCACCCAAGTAAGAGAGTCATCTTTAGGTCTAAATCCCAGAGTCAGATGTCATAAGTAGCAGGCAAAAGATTATCTTGTTGGACTGCTGCGACTTTCAGGGATTTCCTTTTTGCATCATGAGAGAATTGTACATTGTTGGTGCAATGCTGGACACTTGGTGGTATGTTCCCACTTACCTGAAGGTACCCAGGCTTGGCAGATAAGGTGTGACAGGGGAGAGGAGGAAAAAAGTCATCACACTGCTTTTACCACAAGTTGCTTCATGGTTTTTACACTGTATGAGTCTGGCTGTGGCCCCATCCCCTGATCTCCCCCAAGGCTGTGGGCCTCAGGGAGCATCCAGGTTGATTCCGAAATCGCAGTTTATTCTTGCCACAGTCAGATTTCTCCACCGGTGGGTGCCAAAAACTGATGTTCCCATTTTATATTAGATCTAAAGCTCTGGAACTGTTCTGGCAAAGTACTTTCTATGGTTCCGGCAAAGTACCTTTTCTGGTTTTTTCGTGCCTCCACTGAGGAGCCTCCACCACCTGTCTCCTCTTCTCTTGCCCCAAACCAGAAGTTCAAGAATATTATACTTTTTATGTTTTCATTTGAATTTCATTCATAGAAGGGGTTTACCCTGATTTGCTGACTTTTCTTTCCTTAATGCTTCCAAACCTAACAGTTTGTTTGATATTCAAACAGCCAAATAATCTTTTTTTTTTTTTTTCCTTCAAGTCTTGCTTCCAATAAGAATCTTCTGTCTCCCAGCAGTTCAGGGTTGGTCTTCATGTCTTTTCAAGTGGGAATGGGTAATATCTGACTCAGAAGGTTCTAAGTGGAGCTCAGTATTCTACATAAGGCCCCATACTCTTCAAAGTCTTAACAGGAAGTCTATTTCCATTGGCAAATTCTATTTTCCCTTTTAGCAAATCCAATAAGTTATAGGCTGAAAGCAGTCTTACCA